GTCAAACCCTCCAAAAACTAACTCCTTGGACATATCCCATATTTGCAGTCACTTCATCCTGAACTAATTTGATTTTAAAAGTAACGGTAAGCAAGTTGCTAGCTATTACTTTTAAAGTATTTTTTTGTTGTTGTTGGGGGAGGAAGAGAAGGAGAAAGGGAGGGAGAAGAGAAAAATCAAGCTATTTAGCTTTCTAACTATTTAACATAAAATCCAAAGGAGCTCCATCTGGCAGCCAGCAGGATTTCTAAATAATCTAAATAGTATCTACATAAGAACCAGGCTGTCTATAGAGTAAGACAATTTCAGCTTTTACAGCCACAAGAAGCCTTTATTAACATAAAAGGAAATTATATATATATAAAAAAATTAAGTCAGAACAGGAACAAGAGTCTGGCAAGCGGACAAAGGACCCCAGGAATCTCTGCATTAATCTTGAAGTGCAGCTTTTGACTTTGTCTGCATATAGTGCCATATACTGTGCGGTTTAAAAGAACAAACAGAACAAACAAACAGAGCCTTTCAGTTCAAACAACTGTAGTATAATAAAACCAGTTCTAGGAAAAGATTCAGATTTATTAAAATCAATACATTATTCCTCACTTTGCAATACAGGCAGACCCCTATTGTTTTAGCATAGTGGAAAATAGTAAGTAATTACACAGACTTCACTGAGTCATGGAGACTCTTCATGTCCATAGACATCCTTCTTCATTAAGAAAATGGTTCATAATACCATTAATTATGTCAATTAAATATACCTTTGAATCACTCTTTATATAAAATTTTGATCATTCATAATTTCCATGCAAATAAACACCTCTCCACATTTAATTTTCTGAGTTATTCCTAAGAAGGAACTGGCCTTCCATTTCATACCTAGCCTGTAAATTTTTTGCCCCATTTGTGAACAAACCAAGCCTGGTGGCATTTTGGTGCATTGCACAAAATACTTCATTGGCCTGGATGCCACTTCCAAGCTGCCACTCGGATTTTCTTTTAAGTGTCTTGGCACAGAGCCCACGAGTGACAGCAGCAGGCCCCAGAAAAATGTGTTGTACTGATCCTGTGAAGATAGGGCAGGCTTGGAGTTCTGCTCTTCCTGTAGCTCTTCTGGGCTCCAGGAAGAGAATTTCTATGTTTGTCAATGCCCATCTGGCACCTTACATGGGCAGCAAGAATAAAGAATTGGAGTGAAATGTTCTGCTCCCTACCATCTGCTTCCCCTGTAAAGTCTACACAGAGAGCCTGATGGGGAGGGCGGTAAGGAGGGAGAGAGTTAAAAAAAGAACAAGAAAGCACCTTAGTTTACCATCCAACTGTTCTGGCAGGTACACGCTTTTGCCTGTACTTCTCATGTCAGCCCTAGAGACCACTGTTCCCTACAGCAGTACAGCTGTTTGACACAGCATCTCAAACACTGCTAACCCAATGTCTTCGTTCACAAGCATCCAACAGCCTGGAAAAAAAAAGATGCGTTGTTTGAGATCAGCTTTATTCGATCAACCTCTGTTATATCTAGAACAGGAAAATTCCTGTGGGTTTAATAGGAGGTATTACCCTACAGATTTTCTCTGGTTCCACCTCCTTTCCCATCAGCCACATCCCCTCTTGCTGCAAGGCTGCATACACCATGTGTTGGCTCGACCCCTTCTGTCTCTGACAGAAGTTTGGCCAAAAAGAGCAGATTTTCTGCTACTTTGATCATTTCCTGTGGTAAAAAGTGAAGGGAATTATCTGACCCATGGTCATTTTTTTTTCCCCCCTCTTAGTTTTGAAAAATAACAAGGATTTACATTTGCAAGTTCCCTTAAATAGCGTACTTGCTTTTCAATAGCACTTTGCTCCTAGCTTACTGGTTGTCTCACAGAGCTTTTAACTTTAGAATCAGAAAACACATCCCTATGATGTCAAATTCTACAATTCAGCTACTGCATTGAACCAACACAAAACTTAATTACGATGAAGAAGCAACCAAAAGGTAGTATCAAATTCACAAGCAACACAAAAGCGGCAACTTCTACCCTGTTAAAAAATTCTCACATTTAAAAAATGAGCTTAATTCTCTTTTGGTGGGGATAGTGTTATTTTTGGCTACCAACATGCATTGCATAATGTGTTTAGAAATACATTAACCCTTTTATTAAATACACTGTTAGAAGAGATCTATGATATATGTGATATAAGCAGCCTGAAATATTTTTCTTTTCATAGAATCACCAAGGTTCTAAGTCACAATCCAATGCTTGTCTAATCCTGTGTTGAAATAGTGACACTACCTGCCTAGCTAAACAGTGTAAGCATCTGGGCAATGAGGACCTCAAGTAAGAAGCCAAGTGATCATTAGTGAGTCTATGTGATCTGGAATAGCACCCTGACAAAAAGTCCATCATATATTTTTTTCTGTCCCAGAAAATACAAAATACGAATATCCCTACTGAAACGATGTCTCATATCAGAATTCTATAGAAATACATTCCAAAGCAATTATTCCAATACACATCAACTCTTTATGAAGTTTTTTTCCTGTTAACCATTAGCTCAGAATACATCAAAACAGACGTTCGCATTCGTATCAAAAGCCCTTTGTTGGACTTTGCTGCGTTAAAAACATGTAGCACAGATTTTGCCTTGAGCTGAGGCCAGAGCAGTGCATGTCTACCTCTGTCATCAGTGGGAGTTCTACTCTGGAAAGAAATGAGGAAGTTATATACATATTTATATACATATGTACTTCAAAATACACTCAGAAGTTCGGGTGGGGCAGGGTAGGATTTACAGTACCCTTCTTACAAACAGAAATTGTACTAAACCACTTAAAATATCACAACAACACAAACTGGCACTAACATCATTAATAATATATTGCCTTTCATAGGCAGAGGTAATAAAGAAGCTGTGCTGTGATCCACTCAACCTCATTAATAATGTAACAATGAATCAAAAAGAATCTAATTAGTTCAGCAGTGCCAAAAATGGTTAAGCAGAAACACAATTAAGAAACAGTAGGACATTTTTGTTTTGTTTTGTGTGTTCTTTCTTGTCAGACATGTTGCAGAGCTGCTCTTCAGAATCCCCTGGTGTATCTGGAAGCAGCCCCAAATTGGGGCACAGTAACGTGAGAGCACCAGGCTAGACCAGGACGGAGGCTATGTGTGTGGAGCAGGCCCTGCCCCAGCCGTGGGCCCTGCAGGCCTCTACCGTCCCCACACGTCCCACACGAACTTCTGCCCCATCCAGGATCTATGCAAAGGAAGGGTGGAGCCGGTTCCTCACCTCCCTTCAGCAGCCACACAAGATAGCACATCCTGAAAGCATTATGTTTGCTGCAGCCCCTTTTTCCTCCTTCCCCTCAGCGTAACTGCAGAAAAAAAGGAAGGGCAGGCTGGGACACTATCTCGGCTTCCACGCAGACATGCTGGAAGGGAGGGAGATACAAAGGATAGCTGAGCAGACAGCCGCAAACACTTAGGAGGCGCGGGACCTCCCTGTAGATGGCCTTGGCTTCCTCTGAGTCCCCTGGGAGTCCTACAGCTGTGCCTGCCATCCAGATGGGAAAACGTGCATGCATGCATGCGAGAGTCTCTAAGGAAATACCTGGGGAGGGCTCCTCAGCTGGATATTCCAGCAAACGGGATTATCTAAGTCAAGGTTAGAACAGTATGTGTCAGTCTGTACGTGCATGTGTGTGTATACATGGACAGACAGATACGTATGTACATGAGAGAACTTTCTCACTACACCGCATGCATGCCTCTGCAGCACACAGTGACGGAGTCAGACTGCAGCACAGAGCGTAGTATGAAAGTCACACCCATTCTCCACAAAGACAAGTGCAATTCACTGAAGTCAAGAAATTCCATTTCAAAATAAACAAGACCTAATACTGGGGTCCACTATGCCAAAGGAAAATTGTTTTTTCTGACCCTGAAGATATGAATATATAAGTTTAGGATGTATCTCCTTTGACAGGAGGTTCTTGTCCACTACACATTTTACTCATGTTTGAAATTAAGTAAAAGCACCACATACAGGACAAGACAAACACAAATGCTATGAAGGAGAGACCTTTCACTGACTGTTCTATATCCATAGCCAAAGACCTACTTCTTTAAGGAAACAAACAGGACAGTAGTTGCACAGTAAAGGTTTAAACCACAGTAACAACAGTTTTAAGGTACATTTTCCAATAGATTTCAACATTGTTCAATTTGCAGACCTGTAAAAAAAATCCAGTTATGCAGTGAAGCTGGGCAGACAGACGAGGCCTACTCAGCCAAAGACCTGCTTTTCGTATTTACTTTTCAGGGAACATACAGAGGGCAACAGATGGCACAAGCCTACAAATATCAGGCTGAAAAGGTCACTGCAGTTACACTAACTACTGTGGTGTTCTCTAAGATCCACTCGCAGTTCCCAAGGAATCCAACTGGAGTTGGACCAGGCCTGAGCATTAGCTAACTTTACACGATATCTGCAGCATCAAATTCCATGTACTTTTGACAGAAACCTGCACTGAACAGCTCCAACACCAACTTCTGAGCCATCAGTGCCCAGTCCAAACCTTCACGCTCCTACACTGCATAAGCAGGTAGGCTTTTTCATCCCAAGAAGTCCTTAATGAAATCTCACAAGTTTCACACACGTGGCCTGCGACATCTGCAGAAGTTAAAATACACGAGCGTCTCCAAGATAACACGGAATGCTGATAAAGACAAAGCCAGCCTATGTCACTGCGCAGCAACCACCAGAGCCCTGCAGATAGAGTAATCCCAGTGCACACAGCTCCACAAATACAATGAAAGAGTATCTCTATCACAGACATCCGTCCTGAGGAGGCCGGACAGCAGTTAAGAAAATAAAGAACTGAATTGAAGCCTGTATGCCGCTGTCTAGCACTAGTTACATTTGTACCACCCATTCCCTGGGGAAAATGACACAGAATGCAAACAGGCCTTGTTGTTCAATTATTCAAGTATTAAGAGATTCACAGAAAGACATCTGAGAAACATAACATTTTAATAGATGAAATAAATACTCCAGTACATGCAAGATAAAAACTGACATTGGAAAAAAAAAAATTAAAAATCACTTCTGTTATAGTGTAATTTTTTTGTTTGTTTGTTTAAACACTCACAGTAGCTTTTCCCCCAGTTTGGAAATCAACACATGGAAAACATAATCACAACCTCCAGTCCTTCCACTCCTACACACCAAATGCACTTCTAACCTAACACTTGATGCAAAATTTAAAAAAAGTCATACAAAACAAAAACAAACAAAATAGTAGCTACATCCATCATCTACATGGTGGTGTTTTCTTCTTTTCATTTTTAAAACGAATGAGAACTGAGGTAACCTTTTTCCTGCACAACCAAACAGTAAAATTTAGAAGGGAAATTTCGGAAGACAAGACAAGACAAACTTTAAAAACCGCACCCAGCGCGATTAAAGCTATTTTCTTTTCCTTTTTTTTTTTTTTTTTTTTTTTTTTTTTTTTTTTGTTAGTTCAGATACCCCCACCTCCCCAAATATAAAACTTTTAAACAGTTGCTATTACCATCTGTGTGAAGATCTGGTTGAATAAAGGAACATTTATCTGCAGGTACTTGCTCAAAATAAAAAGAAGCCCAAACTGGCTACCTTTGTTAGTACGTATAATTTGAATATGCTGTTCTGCTTCTTCACCACGTGAAATCAAAGGATTGGGCCCATCCAAGCGAATTCTTTGGTATACAAAACAGGGGTGAGGAGGTGGGATATTATTTTCCTTTAGCAATGACTGAGATCTAAACAGAAGGTGTGGGGGTTAATTCACAGAATTGGAGTTCACTGGCGGTAAAGTCCTGGGTGAAGATCTTTCTCTTAGTGCCTGAGATAACAGGTTGCAACCATCCGAGACGGCGCAAGCTGAGTTCCTCAACCTTTCCCTGTAATCGCTCATTTTGGTGCTACTTTCGGGGTGTTGGGCTATATCCCTGAGGCATTGGGTCAGGAGCACACAAGCAGAAACCACACTCATGGCTCCTCCTAGGATAGCAGTTTGCACAGCTTTGCCCTCCGGATTGATGGTGGCAGCTTTACCCAAAAACTGGGGCTCAGTGGCAAAGCCCACCAGAGCATAGACAGACTGCACCAAAGGTCCACTGAACAAGACGCAGCGGTTCCTGGTCAGCTCGCTGGGTGAAGTCTTGACCTCCTTGACACACGCCAAGAGGGCGGAGGCGCTGGTGCTCATACATTTGACACTGAGTTTGAACTGCTCCTTAGCAAATTTATCCTTGGATTTCTCACTGGCCAGCACACAGGCGTCTGTCAGGAATTTCAAGTTCTTGGACATGTTCTGGGAAACCTCCAGCAGGAGCTGAGGGCTCATATCTGCCAAAGGGGTGGTCTTCAAGACCCCGCAGCCATGCTCCACCTCGTGCCGACATCGTGTCACCTTGTAGCGATCCACTAAGCCGGGCATGGCAGGCTGGGCCCCTGGAGTCTCCACTGCAGCCAGATAGGCAGCGTGGGCAGAGCACTCGGTCAAGGAGACCACCAGCTCCCCCATCTCCATCAGGCTTTCCCCCACCTCCCCGAAGCGTCCCATATTGAGCTGGCTCTGGACGTCGTGGGTCAAGATGGAAAGTCCTTTGGTCCTGGCGATAATCGTGTCCCTGCACTTCTCGAAAGACTCGCCGAAGACAGACAAGCTCTCAGTGTTCACCGGCCTGGTCTCGCTCGACAGCAGAAGCAGATCGGCCACCAGTTGCATCTTGATCTTGCAGTGGTCGCAGATAGAGATGAGCTTCTTCCTCTGCAGGGAGCTGCCGCTGGGGATGCCGCCGCCGGACACCTCGCTGCTGGACTTGCCAGAGCCGCCGCTAGCCATAGCGCCGGGGGGGGCCTCGCATGCCGCTCGCTACCCCACTGCCGCCGCCTCTGCCGCCGCCCGAGCAGTCCCGACTGAGCCCGGCAGGATCGCTCTGCCTTTTCCGCAACATCATTCCATTAATCGCCGGGAGGCAAGAAAAGGCTCTGGGCGCCGGGGCTGCCGTGCTGCGGGGGGGCGAGCTCCGCCGGGGCTCCCGCACCGCTCCGGCTCCAGGCTCCGCTCTACGGCTCTCCAGCGGCGGCTCTGCGCTGACCGGGAGCCCCCGGGCCGCGCTCCGGCATCGTGCGGCTTAGCAATACGTATATATATATATTTCTCCCCTCGTCTTTGCACTTCCCTCCCTTCCTCCGGCTGCGGGATCCTGCGCAAAGTTCCCTTTAGGAAACGGAATAGCCCGGAGGAGCGGAGCTAAAGCGGAGCTAGCGCGGGGCCGCAGCCCTGGGGGCCGCCCTCCCGCCGCCCGGGCGCTGCTCGCAGGGGCCGGAGGGGCGGCGGCTGCGCACCATGTGCCGCCCCCGGCGCGCCCGCCGCGGCCCCGCGCCGCCGGCTCGCAGGAAGCGCTGCGGAGGGTGTGGCCCGCCCGGGCCGGGAGGGGAGAACGGGGA